AACACTTTAATTTGTATTTTATAGAACAAATATTTTCTGACTGTATTTAATAAAAATGATTTATTTTCAGTGCAAGTATCATTTAATTATGATAATAATTATAATAATGAAAAATACTTTGTAAATAAAAGTTAATTGAATTAAAATATAGACAGTTAACTGCCTTATAAACTAAATATTTTTATAAATGTTATAAATTATAATTTATAATTATAAACTTTTAAGTAGACTAGAAAAATTCAATTTCTTTTATCACTGAAATTAAAATTTTGAAAAAAAATTTTTTTATTTTTTATTTACACTGCATTGTAGTTGTTGTATTAGATTTTCATAGTAATAAAACTACTGTATTAATAGTATTAATCAATAATTTTACTTAATATTTATTTGTAAAATATGAAATAATAGGAAACCTACTTAAATTTAATAATGATTTATAATTATTTGTATAATACCTTTTTATACATAATATATTCATAAATACTATATTCACATTTTTATAGTGTTCTAAGGTGATTTTGACATTTTTGATACTGAGTTTTTTAGGTTTAAAGTTAAAAACTTTTATTTGTAGATACATCTTATTCACATATTATAATGCACAGGTGCGGCTAAACGAACAGTGCAGTTTTGAAAAGCTATTAAAAATAAAAAACTGCATAGCTTTAGAAATGAGTTTTTTATTTTATTCCGTAAATCATGCCGTTTTATAGATTAAGTTTTGAAGTTACATCAAAAAGATAATTAACTCCCTGTAGTAGCTATACATTGTTAAAGACGACTTCTGGAGTTTTTGGCTGCATTTTTACACATATTAACGGGTATAGTGGCGATTTCTTCCCGAATTCGATCTTTGAATTCTTCTAAGGTGTGAGGCCGATGTTTAAAAATATTTTTTTCAGATAACTCCACAGAAATAAATCGCAAATGCTCATATCGGATGAGCGTGCGGATCATCTTCCGTCACCTCGCAGAGAGACGAGGCACATAGGGATAGGACACATCTGTTGCAGTTAAAAGTTAATTGGGAGCATAAAAGAAGAAAGCAGATTTAGGAGATATCTGGTTTCAACAGGATGGAACTACAGCCTATACTGCCCGAGTTTCAATGACGTGACATGATCCGCACGCTCACCCTCTATTTCAGCATTTGTGACTTCTTTCTGTGGGGTTATATCTAAAAGAAAATATTTTTAAATATCAGCTTCACGCCTTGGGAGAGCTCAAAAATCGAATTCGGAAAATGGTCGTCGATATTATGTGCAAAAATGTGGCCAAAAACTTCAACAATGTACCTGTTGATGACCGGGGGGGGGGGTAATCATCTTTCTAATGTAATTTTCAAAACTTAATGTATAAACGGTATGATGTACCGAATTAAATAAAAAAATTCATATCTATAAGTTGCGTAGTTTTTTTTTTAATAGACATTTAAAATTGCACCGTTGTTTTGACTTAGGTACTCTGTATTTCAGTCACTTAAAGTAGGTACATACCTACTACAATATAGTGCATACCCGTTTTACTGATATAATCAATGCTTTTCTATATAGCCTTGTAACCACGATTCCCCCATAATTTACCTAATTATATAAATTCCTAATTCTAAATTTAAGCTATTTATAAAAAATAGTCATCTCAGAAGGATATAAGAATGTTTGGTGAGTTATCTCAACGTGGTACAGTAAGTTCTCGTTTAATGTCGATGTTAGGTTCCCAGAAAATTCGACGTTAAATGAAACATTTTTTACACACATTTTACTATATTTTTTCGCCAATGAATAGCAATATATTATTTTAAATCTATATGATAAAAAATGCATAATATTATGTACTCGTATGTACACAAAAAGTGTACCTATTGTATACAGCAAATTTCATTGAACAACTGCTTATCGATAAAATTGAAATACATGTGTACACACTATATAGTCACTACGCCACTATATACATATTATAATATTATTACCTATAATAAATAAAATTAATACTTATCTACGTATAATTATTATTAGCTGATAATTTTTCATCGTCAAACAAGTTATGAAAAAATTCAAATGCTTTGACAGATTATTATGTAGCCTACCTATTATTGTCTATACCATTTGGAAAAAACGGCTTTTTTATTGTGCACTAATTTTTATTATACATATCTAATATATTTAATAATATGAAATCATTCGTAAAAACGCAGTTGCAATCACCGATCGCAATAGACGATTATATACTAACGAATAACTAAGAACGTTGTGATCACCGGAACCATTTAATGCCCATACAAAGAAATTATTGATAAATTGACAGGCTCCTGCGTTAGATGCTGTGCTTCGCGAAATCACAACTTACAAGTTTGTGTATTACTATTTTAGTATTTTTAATATTTAGTATCTAAGCACGAAGAAGATTTTTTAGCGACGAAATAAATGAAATAATATCTATAAAATTAACGACGACTAACCGCAGATTGCATAATTCAAAATAGCTGTCCATTGGGAAAGAAATAATTTAAAAATTTATTGATAATCTATCTGCTGTAGTAATTGACAAATTCGTTTCGATAAAGAAAGAGAAAATTAGAATTTTCGCTTTAAAAATATTTTATTACATTTTTAATGTATCAAATGACTTAATATTATTATCTAAGGTTTGGTAGTTAAATTTTTTATTTCTTAATTAAAATGGTTAAATTACATCTTAATTGACAATAATTGTACTTTTGTATACAGTACAAGTACACGCATTATTTGGTATTCGGCATTCTGTTTGTTTTTTATTTAATAAAAATATTTATTGGTAATCGTTCCATCGAAATATCGTTCTTACACTGAAAAAAATGTCTAGCAACGCCACTACCTATCTGTAGATCGACATGCGGTCGGTAAATATGTAGGTATATATAACCCATGATAGAATTTTTTAATAGCACACGTTTAATCATTCCACCGTTCGCCGTCGCTGTGCATTATACAGAGGTTTCAGTATGCAATGTAAATAAAACCAAACCCGAGTCCTGTTATATCATCCTGACGATTTTGCTGTTTTACATCGTAGACCGTGCAGAAATGCCTCCTACCACCAAGGATTACACATGAATAGGACGTGCGTGCCTGCGGTGCTAAGGCCGCGGGATTCGCGTTCTGAGAGGGTGTATGCCTGTCGTTTAGCATGTCTCATAATGTCAGTTTGTAGTGTTTGTACTACGTTGTCACAATATTGTGCTCGTAATGCGTATTTCATAGATAAAATATTAATTGCGTCTCGAGTCAGAGGAGATATGCTTGCTTTTGCGTTCTTTACAAATGACTACATCATCAATGGGCATACTGCATATTTAAAGTTAGTTATTCAGTCGTGTGAATAAGAGCTAGAAAGGTAGGTACTCAGTACAACGAGACATATCGACATCGGAAGCCGGAAGAAAAGGTTGGCGTGTGACGGTATGGAATGTCGCGGATATAATGTCGCTTCGTCGACCGTTGACTTTGATCGTGTTGGCACGGGATGGCCGATGGCAACGACGACATCGACAAAGATTTACTTGTAAGTTGTAATCTTAAGTTCATTCCCTCAGATCTTGTGTAGAGGACCAGTAGTTGTGGCGTTGTGCACATCCTTTGCGCCAAAGTCCTACATAAAGTTATTTTATAATTGTTTTATTTTTATTTTTAAGCTTTTATGTTTATTTAAGATTGACGTTCAATAACTTAATGTTTTAGTATTGAAGTATTCGAAGCATATTAAAATATTGTATTTATTACTTGACTTTAAACGTTATCATTTATGTTAAGTCAATCTTAAAATTATAGGTACTGTTACAGCATGGTCTAAGACTGCATTCATGATTTAAATAATTAAGCTGTTAAATCAAATATTCTATTTTAGTATTCTATTGTGACTTATTTAATTTATCGACGTTCATTTTTGTAGTTGTAACTATATTCTGTTTAGTCGTATAGCCATCTACAACTATGTAATTGATTTATATGATCAATTTAATAAATAATCAATAACTATGTTATCATGTACATATTAAGTTATCACTAGGGCTCAGAAGTTGATGCATTTTGCATTTGTTTTTGGAACTTATTAAACGATGCTCTCCTGGCCATAATTATTAATGTTTTTCATAAACATGTGAATCTAAATAACTAATTTTTATTTTGCATTTTTTGGTTTTTTTTTTTTTACTTTTTAAGTCATTTTTAGGTCCTATTTTCCTTTATAGTTCAATTTCTTGTATTTATAATTAGATTTTATCAATTAACATCTTTACACGCAGTTTTTGTTTTACACAGTCTATATATAAGTATCTACATCAAATTTATATTTGATAAAATAATATTTTACACAAGTTGTATATGGGGTAAAGATAAAGATTCAATAGAATAAGGCAATTATTGCTAGCTGTCATTTTTACTTTTTACAATATAAAATATGCTTTAATAGTACAATGTAATAATTTTGAGTAATTTTTATTACTGTAATTATTCTTTTTTTTCAAAAAAAAAAAAAATAAATAAATAAATAAATGCATTTTTACTAACTTATAACAAATATTTATAATTTTTTAGGTCATTTTTTGTCATTTTTTTAAAGTCGTATTTGCATTTTTTAGGTCAATTTTTAATGCTTTTAAAGTCATTAACTTCCGAGCTCTAGTTATCACCTATCCAAATATGAGTCATTCCTATTCATCCTGTTTATTTTAATTTTATGTAGATCATTTGATTAACAAAAGTATACTCTCTTTAAGCCAGCACTGATCTTGTTTAGTGTTCTTTTTATCAGCACATAAATGTAAAAACAAAATACAGTAGAATTAAACATTATAAATATTAATTTCTAAAAAAAGTAATTCATAACACTACCTTTGATGAAATAAACTGTATATTTAATCAAAGAAACTACACTAAATATCGAAAACAAATTAGATAAGTTAAATTAAACATTACAACATTTTTTTAAATAAAATTCACGATTTTTTTTACATATAATACAAACTAATAAGGTGGTGGTTGTAAACCATACGGATGTCCTTGTTGTGGTTGTTGAGGATTTTGCATCTGTCTTTGCATATGATGTTGTTGTTGCTGCTGTTGTTGTTGTTGCTGTTGTTGTTGCTGCTGTTGTTGCATAGCCATTATATGTCGAATACGCTGTTGACTAAATTGCTAAAATAAAAAAAATTAAATATGTTTACTCTGTCTTACTTACAAAATTAATTTAAATGAACTAGAAAAATTTTTACATAAAAAATTACTATATTTGTTCAAAATATTTACTTGATGGTATTGAGAATGTGGTGCTTGTTGATTCGGACCAGTTGGACGAGTGTAAGGTGGTGCTGGATTCTGTGGGCCACTCATTGGATTCATCGGCACATTTTGATTCTATTAATTTTGATAATTGGTAAAAAATAGTATTATTTTAAAATAATAATTAATTTTAAAAATCAAAATATTATTTACAAAAAGATTATGCAAAATAAACACATTTTGAAACTTTTATATTGCCAAAAGTAATCATTAACTCTATAATTTCAAGTTGTTTTTTTCTGGTATAGATATTAAACTCAATTTTCATTAAGATTAAATAATTTTTCATAATTAATGAATTGTATTAAAATTTGAATTTAGGAAAAAATACTAAGAAAAAAGAACAAACTTATAAACAATGTAAGCCAGAAATTTTTGACACTGAAAAATCTTTTAGTAAATTTAATATTTTGTAATCCGTATGAATATATGATTTTATGTTTGAATAGATAAAAGTAATAATAGGTGGATATAAATTAATTTAAAAAAAAAAATGGTTATAACACATTATTATACATTTATATAATAAATATTAATTAACTGATATATCTAATATTTAGAATATTGTATTATGTATTAAGTATTTATTAAAAATATTATACTTTAGATTTCATTTATCAATTTTAATAATATGAAATTTAGATCAAATAGTTTTAAGGAAACAATAAAAAGGACATTATCATCCTCATTTAAGAGTAACTCATAGTTGAGTTTTATACATGTTGTTAAATATAGTAAATAAACCCTTTCATAATTTCAGAATTAGTTCTATATAGTTTTGGTAAATAACATTAATTCTGTTGATAATTTATATAATGTGAACATTGTATTAATATTAAAATTTATAAAATGCATTTATTCTAAAATATTCTATAAAGAAGTCTGTAAGCGTATTCATAAAGAAAATTTCACTTGAATTATTAAATAATTAAAATTTAAAAAATTATTTAAGTTGGAAATATTTTATCAAAAATCAATTGATAAAAATTGGTCAATTACAATGTTTATTAAATACTTTACATTATTCTCTTGCATTTCTGGATTAAAAAAAAAAGTAATGATGATAATAAAACAGTTCAATTTCTACAGTCTAACTAATAGATGTATGGGCAATGCATATATTTATGGCACGAAAACTCAGTGGCTAAAAATGAGTTATACAATTTAATAATTTATGTTTTAAATAGAAGCATTATGAATTTTATATTATTTATCATTAAAATGAATAAATTATTACAAGTTTGTTCATTTTTTTTTTTGTTTTGGTTTTTCTTAATTCCCTGTTATTATTTTTTTTTTGGTATTTTTAACACATTACCTTAGATCAGTGTTTTCCAATCTTTTTACCACCACGGACCACTTCGACAATATTTTATAGGTCGCGGACCACCTTAATTTTACGCAAATTAGGAAGACCTTTTTTTTTTTTTTTGCTCCCATTAACAAGAATACACAAAATTGATCGAAAAATGTTAATTTTCAAAACGTACTGCGTGGTAATCAAACGAATAATGAGTGCATACTGAATCAATATCCATAACAGTTATTTGTCGGTACTCATAAAGTATAAATATATAAGCAACGATGTTTGAAATTGACATGATTATATTATCGGTTGCGATAATAGTATAATTTATTACTCTGATAAGTATCAGAGACACTTATAAAAGTAGAAAATACTTATCGGTCGTCGGCAGAAACAACAACGATAAGATAACCGTATATTACGGTAAAATAAAATATTTTTCGCTGTTAAAAAAAAATAATAATTTTTAATAGAAAACGAAGAAAGGTACCGCGGACCACTTATGACTGGCCCACGGACCACCGGTTAGGAAACACTGCCTTAAATTCTATAAAAATAATGTTACCTATCAATATGTATTTTACTTGTTATAATTGAGAACAAGTAATAATGAACATACAGTGCCAAACATTAAATAAACTCATTCTATATGATTTGTGTATATGTTACAGGCAAAGTATACAATTTGAGCATTTTCTACAACGTTCGGGCATTATACAAAATGACCTTCTTATATTGGGCAATATAGATAATATAATATTTATTAGTAAAATATTGTCAAAATATAATTAATGAAATATATTTATATCATTAGAAAATATAATACATTTTTTTTTTTTGTATTGCTTATTTTTGAATGGAATTTTTTTATTTAATAAAAAAAAATTATTTGATCTTTTTTTTAACAAATCGTTTAAATCTGCATTAAACTTTTCCATATTTTAATTATAAGATAGTCATTGAACTACACTATAAGAATAATTTGTGGTTGCTAAAACATTAATTTTAAGAGAATTAACCTCATAAGCGTAACTAGACCTCTAAAACGTTCCTTTAAAATCGTTAAAAACAAATGAAAAAACACACTACCTAATCCAAAACCACGAATAATAATCAATACTTAATTTGGCTCTAATATTTTGACAATAATTAACTATTAAATATTATATTGCCCAATATAAGATGGCCATTTTATACATACAGTACTTGGGCATTGTATAAGATGTTCGGGCGTTTTAGAAAATGCCTAAATTATATATTTTGCCTGTAACATAATATATTGTACAAATAACATTCTAGAGATAATTGATAAAACTATAGATAAATACAAAATATTAATATTTAATTTAAGTACTTACTTGCATGTAAGGAGGTCTCATTCCAGGTTGTTGTCCTACATAACCTCCATAATTTTGATTCATACCTAATAAATACAATGTTTAAGACTCAATTTTATGATGTATTTATTTATGGACTTACTTTGTTGCATATTGGAATACATTTGTGTTGGTTGCTGTGTTGGATACATTTGTGGAGTATTTTGCTGAGGAGGCTGAATTGGTACATTATTTTGTCCTCTCCTAATTACACAAGTATATTATAAAATAAAAGGAAAATCATTTTATTATCGATTATCAATTGAATAATAATTTACCTTATAAACTGCTGTCTAGGCATAGGTTGGAAATTAGGATTCATATTTGGTTGCTGTCCTGTTTGTCCCATGTATTGGTTAGTGGGTAACCGCATACGTAGCATATGACTTAAAGCTTGTTTAGAAGTATTTCCTGGACGATCAAATCTAGATCCAGGACCTGGGACAGGTGTTGGAGGTACTTGTTGAGGATAAAAGTTAGGACCTCCTTGTGGAGCTTGCTGACCATAACCACCCCACTGAGGATTTTGAGTTGGAGTTGGTCCAGGAGTTGGTCCAGGAACTGGAACAGGACCAGCACCAGAAACTGGACCTGGACCTGGTTGCATTGGAAACATACTTCCACTATACCCCATATGCTGACCCTGTGAATTCTATTATAAATTCATAAAATTATTAATTACTTATTATTATTTACTAAGTATAATAATCATTAATTATTAAAACTAAAATATGTATTTTGTTGGTATTAAATGGAAACATTATAATTAAGCTGGGAATTAGGTGACCTAAAAAATAAATGTATACTTTAAAAAATGATAATTGCATCAAAAATATTACTAATACAAATCTAAAAGAACAAATGTAATTTAGTTCAATACACATTTTGGCTATTTGTTTGATTTGTACCAAAACAAATATAGGTATATCTAACATGAGAAAAACAAATCAAAGTTAATGAAATCTCAGCATAATTATAATATTCTTCTAAAAATTATTAAAAATTGTTAATTTTTTTTTATAAAATATTCATATATTTATAAGTTTTTAATAAATGATTAATATTGCTATCATGCTACCATAAGCCATATTCTAATGTGTATTATATTATTATAGTATAATATTAAGATGCTAATTATTAATAAATATTAGTTATGTAATTACCTGCATTTGTGGGTGCATTTGAGGACCTGGTCCCATTTGAGCATTGGGAGTCATAGGTGACATAGGTGGAGGTTGTTGTTGTTTCTTACGTCTAGGATTAGGGGGTCCTCCTTGAGTTTTCATATTACGTTTAACACCTCTACCTGGTGATTCAGGTACTGAAGAAGGTGTATCTGGACGTCCTGGCCCTGAACCCATGTTCATCCCAGAACTAACTCCTTTGATCTGATTACAATAAACACAAGGACACTACTTTACAAATGAATGTACTGCTCTTTTCAATTTCCCAGATAAAATGTTAACGTAAAAGCCCCATATAATAGAAATTAAAACACTTCGTAAATCAAATATAAAAATAAATAAATTATAGTAAATAATAACATCAAAATATAAAATAATCGCCAAACTATTGATACATTTATAAGTATGAAATATTTTATTCAAAACATCAAAAAAGAATATTTAATTAATAATAAGAATAGATTAAAATTCTATTACTTACAGGTTTTTCTTGGGGAGGTTCTAAATCTTCAGGAGGTAAAGGCAGAGGTTCTAAGAAATATGATGCAGACTTCACTAATGAATGTGTATGGAACTTAAGCATCCTGTGGTTTTCTTCATACCATAATGGTTTTCGTTCAACGCGCACAGCACTAAACCATGACCACGATAATGGAGCTGGATTTTTATGTCCTTCTAATAAATCCCAAGCACTTACACGCTGTTTATCACATACTTTCAAACCTTGCTTATCATTAGAATCTAAGCCTGATGAAATCTTATTCCCTTTGATGTCAGTGCCAATTTGCTCACAGGTAATGATTTCACATTGCTGTTTGCCTAAAGGCAAAAGTTGTCTAACTTGTGAAATGGATAAAGAGTGTTTTTCTCCAACTTCCTAAAAATAATATTGATATGAATAATGTTGATATTATTTTTTTTTAAATATTTTACTTTTTTTAATTTTTTTATTAAATTTTGATAGTGTTTTCGATTTTCTTCTCCTTTTTCAGTTTGAGAATCAGTTACAAGTGTTGAATGTATTAAAGTAGCCAACATATCTATTACTGTGTTAAACAATTTCCTACAACATAATATTAGAAATTATTATTAGAAATGGTTTTTTTTTAACAAACAGCTTACGTGTTATTAGTCAAATCTATCACTGAATATGTCACTAGCTGCACAAAAAGAACAGCCCAATCAGTTGTCAAAGCAGTACTTCGCTGAATTGTATCAAACATGCCTCCTACTAAGCTGAATCTCAATGCAAGTGCATCTTGAGCGGCATCAACTTCTTTATTGCTGGCACATCCTTCTTGAATTCCAAGACGTTCCTATTAACAATAATAATACGTAAAGAACCTTGCCTAAGACTTTTATCAAATTTATTGATATGTTTACCTCTTTTGACAATACTAAATACTGAGACAACTGATTATGTACAGATGAAAGTAAATTTTCACGTTGGTCATCTTGTCCTTTAAGGCAGCTCAGTACTAATGACAAAAATGGCTGATGATAAGCCAAAATAGCTGGTGGCGGGGGTACAGAATTAGTATTTTGAGAAGGTCGAGGATGAGGTGGAGTGCCTTTATTACTACTTCGACTACTACTGCCACCTCCACTTACACCATGGGTAGTAATTGGAGTAACATTACCAGAATTGGTACCACCTAATCCAATCATATTTCCACTCTCTAATACTTGACCTTAAACCAATAATAATGCAAAATCAGATTCTAAGAAAAAAGTTAATAGTACAATATAATTAAAATAGGTGTATACAATATATATTGTATATCAATTTTTAAATTTAAAATAATTATTTACCAGCTACTTTTAACACTCTTCCTTGAACTGCACTAGGCAACTTTGAAATAAGTGGTGCTAATAACCACATTGAATGAGTTTTTTTAATGTTTTCACTCCTAAGAAAATTTTAAAAACAAATATAAGTAATTTGTTAGTTATTTTTAATTATTAATTATAAAAGTGTATAGTATACAAAATTAATTAGTGATAACTGACAATTATGTTAAATCTTCAAAATTATTTTAGATTTATACTTCAAATTTTAAATTAAGGTAACTTATTTGATCAATTATTATATTAGAAAACAAAATAATTGCACATAAACAATAATATTTTTTTTCTGTAATAGTGTATAGGTAGGTATCCAATTTTGAGATTCAGTTAAATTACTAAGTATAAACTTATTTTGATTTTTTCAATTATGTCTTAAATAAATAACAAAAACTCCTCGTTATGCCACAACAATCCCATATAGATTTATCATCTACTCTACATTAAGTTCAATGTTTAAAACTATCTTAAAACTATTAGCTATAAAGTCCATTTATATAATTTTAGTGGAGTCTTTATGTCCAATGTACTTAATTTTTAAACACTAGTTAATAATAAGTTATAAAATTATATATTATGTAGATTGTTAATTTTTTCTTTTAAACAAAAAATCTAATTATTAATAATATAAATTAATTACTTGTTCTGGGTATTTAAGTTGTGTTGGAACATATCTATAGCTGCTTTAGCAACTATATCCAGCCATTGATTTAAATCAGGTGAATTTGGTGAAAATTGTTTAAACATAAGTTGCATTTCTAACCAAGACATTCTAAGAGTCCATTGATCAGAATTCTAAAAATATAAACAATATTCAAAATTAATATTTAAGTATTAAGCATGATAAGAAAACATTTTTACTACCTCTAAAATGTTGGTAATTATTGTCCTTGAATCTAAAGAAATATCAGATCCACTTGCTGTTTCCGGATAACATATCATATGCAAAAGTCTTTGAGCCTAATCATTAAGTTATTAAATTATTTTTAAATTTAAAAATAATTTAAAAAATATTATATTCATACCTGTTTAGATGATAGCATACTGTCCAAGAGCATATCTTGATGACATAATTCTTCAGGATTTTGTAGACAACGTTCTAATACCCATTCTTGGCTACATATTTCTCTTAATACAAATTGTGCTAAGTCAGATAATCCAGGTGCCTGAGTGTCAGCATTTCCTAGGCTACAAATATTTTTAAAATTAGAATTAAGTAATAATATTACATTTATATAATATTACCCTCCTAATTCCATTAGTAAATGATCAGCTGAACCACCAAGAATATCAGATGTGCCTAGAATATGGCTAATTGACAATTCACTAGGCATCTTACTAGTACCACCAGGAGTACTAACTTGACTTGAAGGTGATTTTTTTATTGATTGATTGGGACGTTGTGCTGTAGCATCACCAACTACTATAATAGCTTTTAATACAGCTAATAAAGGACCAACCCTTATATTATTATGAGCTGCAGCTAACAAATGTCTATCACAACTTTGTTTAATGCTGCAGCTAGAATTTGAGTTTGATATAGGGTTCGGTGATGTACCTAAAATATATTTTATACAATTATTAAAATATTATTTATTTTTAATTTTTAATTCTTCGTTTTTTGTTGTTTTTTTTTAATCATTTTACATACCAACTGAATAAAGACTGGGTTGAGGCACTTCAGTAGTTTTAAAGAGACGTAACAATAAATGACATGTGAGTCTAGCCGATGCTTCTGCCTCTGGATCCGTATCTGCAGCTCCATGTCCTTTAAATGTATAAAGTAATTAGTTAATAATATGATATGATTTGTTAAAGATAATAAAAGTACAGATGTATTAAATATTAAAAAAAAAATGTTTACCTTCATTACTGACTGTCAAAAGAGATGGTAAAGCTACATGTACTACAAAATCTTCCAAGGAAAAACAATGGCGAGCTAAAATTAAATAATATAATTTTCAACAATTAGATAATTTCTAATATTTTTCTGTTATAGATCCATAAAGTCATAAAAATGTAAAAAAATCATAATTTATAATACTTACCAACAAGAATAGAGGTAAATAAGGCTAAAGAGTTGTGTACAGTAATATCACTCATATCCACCCGTGATAAAACTTCTCCAAAAATAATAGGATTATTAGAAGAACAACACAGAGCCATCAATACCCCTGAAAATGTATTAATATTTATTTTAATTACTAAATTTAATCAAAATAATTTAATATTATTACCTAGCCATTCAGATGCTAATGAACTACATGATGCTGTTAATTCTGCACTGAGTATAGCCAAATCATTTAAACGCTCAATATCTGAAGTTTCAGTTGCAACAGCTATTACAACATTACAAACTAAACTGTATCGATTACTTTGGGATTCATTTAGTTGTCTATGCCAACCAGGATCAATTTTAACTGTACAAAATAACCATAATAAGTTGATAAACTTTGTATTAATAATGTAAGAAAATAAACACTAACATCCTCTTCTATAAGTCATTATTAAATCATTCATGTAACTAGAATTCCAATTTCCATGTGTCATAGTAGATGGTTGAAGATTTGCATGGAGTGTCTGTCGTATTTTTGTGTATAAAGTATTAAATGGTTCGGCTCCAGGCAAGCGACCTTTTAAAAGAGGTGCAGCAGATATATATAAGTCATACAAATGTGAAAGAACACAACGTTCAACACTTAAACAATCTGCAGGATTTGATACGTGTTTGACAACACGGTATAGGTTTTCAAAAGCACCAACTACTTGCTCTTGATTTACTAAAAATAAATAATAAATAAAATCATAATATAATATGATTTAACACTACAGTATTTAGTAAATAGTTCCTAATGAATAAAAACAAAATAAGAAACTATTTTATTCTCACATAAAAGACAACAGTGATATCTACGCAAAACTCCAACAATGTAAAGAACTAAGGATGTTGTATAAGTTCGTACTAAAGATGACCCTTTAGCAGCCAATTGTGCCTCAACATCTGGTATATCCATTAAAATCTATGTATGAAAAAAATATAATTATTAAATTAAAAAATATAGAATTTTATTTACCCCAACAAATATAGAGTAAAAATATTAGATAAACGTTTCTAATATGTTAATGTAATGCACATTATTTTGAATTTATACTTAAATTCTTAAACTTAAGTACATAATTAATGTAAGTATGCTGGGTAGTAATAAAAGTTTGCTAAAATAAATTAAACTCATAATTTTACATATTTATGAACAAAGTATAACATGTAATTAATAATCATGTTTACCTGAATACAGACATCAAGAAGTGTATTGACATTTAATGCTAACTCCATGAGATCAAATAAAAATGCTACGTGTTCTTGAACTGGAAGATAATTTGAGTTGCCTATAATAAATAATAATAAAAAGATATTTTATTTTATAATCACAATTAATATATATACATACTAGTTTTAAAACATTTATAAAAGATAAAACACAATTATTACCAGTTGCAAATGCATTTATTGCTTCAAGTACATTGAGACTACATTGCCAAGTCACAACATGTTGGTCAAAATATGATAAATTTTGTACACGAGCTGTAGTTGCTTCAAAATTAAATTCATTTCTAGAATGTTTTTTGACTTTTCCTCCTATTATTAAAATTACAAAATTTAAAATTACATATCATGAATTCTAAATAGTATTTAATATTTACCTTCAGCTATATCAATACTGAATTTCTTACTAAATAATTTACAAATATCTTTACTAATACGCTTAATAGTATGTCTTGCATCATCTCTCATTTTACCAAAACCATACAATAATACATGCCTTTGATTACAATCATGGCTTGTGGTTTCTTCGTCCTAGATATTAAATTTAAAAAAATGTATGTATTAATAAGAAAATATGAAATTTATTTTTTGATAAATTTACCAATGGTAGAGGAAAATGTGTGGCATATAATAAATGTCGAGATGGTCGGCATTTATACATATTATCATTTGTGTTTGTTGATGGATCATTTGATTCCAATCCGCCAATTGATGAACCAGCAAATGGTTCAACTTTTGGAGAATCAGGCGCATCCTTAAAAATTTTTAAAAATGAAAAATTATTTATTTTTTTTAAGTGTATGTTTTGTAAAAAAGTATAAAATTATTAATCAATACCATTGAATTCTGTTGTTCTTCTTTGATATGCTGAAGTAGTTTATCAAGATCATCATCTATTTTACTATCATCATAATCCATATGTCGACTATGATGTTCCTAAAAATTATATTAAATTTAAAATTTAGAAATGTTTAAGACTACAAACAAATATACCTACTTTATACTTAATTTAATTGAAAAAAATATATTTAAAAATGAATTTTAATCAAGATTATAGTAAACATAAGCATTGTTATATAAGACATCATAACAATTTATTAAATTCTATTACCAAAAGTTAAAAAGTCAAACTTACGGGAACATTTGGTTTTAAATCAAAAAGATTGTCATCTTCCATGTGAACTTGTGCTTGAGATGGTACAGCACCTGAAGGTGTATCTGCTGGTTTATTGCTTCCTGGTTGGCATATTCCTAAAATAGTAATATGTATTGAGTAAATGTTATGATTGTTAACTATATTCAATGAATTTTAATATTACCAATGTTATTGGTTGATTGCAAATCCCCTCTTGATATTAATGTACACATGTATGCATCATGTGAAAACACATCGTTTCGTATAAGTTCAGTAAATAAATGTACTAAATTTGTAAAAGTTGTACGACTTGTACTTGTATTATCTAAAATAAATATAACATGAATTTAAAATTGTATAACATTTTATGTATTAAATTCATACCCAGTACTGGTGCATCATGATCAAGAAAATGCATCAAAAGTGGTTGAAAAAGTGGTAGAGTTGCTGGTGTTGAAACAATAGAATCTTTATCTTCACTAGGGCCACCAGGTACAACTTCTACAGATGAATCACTTTCACGACCAGTGATTTCAGCTTGGCGTTTATCTAGTAATTTAGCCACAGCCATTCCACGATGTTCACCCCGTCTTAAATTACTTAGAGCCCATTCACATAAAACTTTCACAACAATTTGATCTTGTTCAACATTCTAATCAATAAAATAAAATTAGTACAATAAGAGTACTATATAAAACAAATATTAGATATTATATTTACATATTCAGATCTATTGTCTTTCAAAGTTTCATTTTCTGTTGGCATAGAAATATTACCAACAGCAAGAAGTGGATTAGAATTGTCTTTAGAATTTGGCGGTAAAAATATTTTATTATATAGTGTATCTAAAGAATTATTTTGATCAATTCGTTCAAAACTGTGACGATCTAATGCATCCAAAACATTTAAAACTTTTATTGTTTTTGCACCTAACAGTTAAAAAACAAAAATATTAATCCTAAATGTAAGTTAAAACTAATTATTTGTAAATAATAAATGTATATTTTATTGAATGTACCGATTGATGATTTATGAAATTTATCCAAACACCATCTACCTTCTGCTGCTTGGCTTCTTATCTTAACGATTTCTTCTGCTTGTTTAAGTTGTTTCCTATAGATAAAACAAATATATTTAAAATACTTCTCATGATTTTATTGATTGATAATAAAAGTTAAGTTTAATATTTTCCAAAAACACTCTTTGTATTATAAGACAGTCTAAAATATATATATTATAATAAATCTTTTAAAAATCAGCCAAAAAGAGCAATATTTTTAAAAGAAATTAAATATTCAAATAAACCAAAGTTTAATTATTGTTTATATGATTTGTTTTTCACTTGCATACTTATAAATTTATATTAAAATAAAATAAATATATTTTAAATTACCTTAATAGAATATTATTTGTTCTCTGAGGCATTGGTAAGACTACTGGTGAACAAGGAAGGTAATCTAAAGGCGATCCATTTAGAACAAATGGAAGTTTGCCACCACCTGAATGATTCCAAGTAAGGGAAGTAGGACATTCTAATAAAATTACCTAGAAAAAAAATTATTGTACAATTACTGTGAAGAATATAAGTTTCAAGTTTCTTCATTACATACTTGAATTATACAGCTAAGAGGAAGTAAAATATCTCTATGATGAGGACAAGACATCATATCATTCAGGGTAGATGCAGCATTAGTAGCACCAGAAGTATTGCTAAAATATATATAAATTAAAATTGTTTATAAATTGTATACACTAGTATTATACCTTGGAACACTATTATTCGAAGCTCCTTTCGATGTAGGACTTTGAGGTGGATTCAAGTCGATTACTGAATTGCATATTGCATTTAACTTACGAGCACAAAAGTAAACTAATTTTCGACTAAGAAGTTCAGATTGACAAAATTCTGAACAATACTGTAAGGCTAAAGGACTTAATACTTTTAATAAACCATCTTCACTATTAGATGATGATTTATAACGTTCAAGCATATCTAAAATCCATTGAAGAACTTCTTGACGATCTAGAAGTCCTTCCTAAAAACAATAATATTTTCATTAAAACATATCATAAAAATGAAATATGAATACAATTTACCTGATACATATATTTAATGAGAGTTGTACAATAATTCCATTGTTTAAGTGAAACTTTTTGTTCTTCGCTCATTGATAAATAATGTGATGAATTCATTGATGCATTGGCATTTTGATAATAATCTTGAAGTTTAATTAGTTGTTCTTTAGTAAATTTTAACAATGTACTCGTCCATTCTAAATTGATAATTATACACAATTGTAAAAATATTAGACATATAGCTGAATAAAAATAACATACCAAGTGTAGGATCAGGCAATTGGCGTTTAGATTTTATTTTTGCTTCAGACACAGCAATCGTATAAGCTGAACTTAATTTTATAAACCATGTAGCACGAATTAAAGGGACATTATATTCACATAATAACATAAATATTTCTTCTTTCTTGTTGAAATTAGGAGCCTAAAAAGTTTTTAGTCTTACAATGTTATCTTGAATATATATCAAACAAAATTAAATTTTTATTTACATGACCATAAAAATAAAAACAAAATATTTTATTATACAAATAAATTAAAGTATTTTTTATTAGGTACTATATAGCCTGGAAATAGTTACTGTAGATTCTAAATTGTTAATAAATCTGAATAATTTATTTAAATATATGTTAGATACTTGCCTTCTTGGAAAGTATATTTAATGGTTTAAATCCAGCTAAATCTTTAAACCAAGCTTCAACAGTAGTCTTTGATCGGGCAGTAGCAGGCCAAAAATTATCTTTTGGATTTATTTGTAACCTTTTACGTCCAGTATCTACTAAGGTATTAAGTTCTTCTTTTTTGTTAATAATTGCATTGAAGAACGCACCAATCTTAGATGCTGTGATATTATAATTACGAGCTGTTCCGTGTTGATGTTCATCAGATATAGTGAGTGATGTTGTGAACCCATGTTTTACATTAACAGTAGTTAATTCATCCTAACAAAATTATTAAAATATACCAATCGTTCAAAACAGTTTTTATTGTTTATTATTATTAAAAATCACCTCTTTTTGTTTGGGTTCTTGTGGATAAACATCGGGTGGACCAAGACGAGGCCTCTTTAATGGACGTTTTTCATATGAAAAACCCATAACGTATGTTTATAACGTCATAAACACATCATTGTCTATATTACCTAATATTAGGTACTGTTAAACTTAATATAATATCACAAAAATTGAGAAACAATGATTAACCTACATAATAACTTTGCTCGTAACTAAATATGTACTGCTAGATTATTAAAACGAAAATGCATAATACATTTACAAGTCTATTGGTTTAATAATTCAAATACAAATAATATACAGTAGAAAATCACATAATTAAAAGAAAAATAAAAAGAAAAAAATCATTTATTCAATAAAAAATTTAATAATTGTTTACGGTATTTTGTTATTATGATAAAGTGAAGTGTAGACTGTAGAGCATAATAATATTATCATATATAAGTATGAAGTATTACATTGTACCTTAGATCTAAGTACTGTTGACTGTACACAACCACGGTTATACAAACTGTGATACAACTTCTGAATAAGGGGGGAGGAGGCTCGCGTAATAATCAGGATAATGATTACTGGGATCCTCAACTATTCACAACACAATTTATCAAGGAACACAATAAGCAGTGTTGCCAGTTTACTTGATATTGATCTTATCAAAAAGTTCGTGTTTTTCGTTCCAAGTTCAAACACTTCCAACTTTAAATGACAAATACCGTTCATAAAGCTTTTCTTGGATTTCAATGATTTCATGGTTTTTACTTCCAAGTCACATTTCATTATTAATTAACAATTATTATTTATTAGACATACAGTATGCGTATATTCTATACTGATAGGTATAAGTATATTATATAGAATTACATTATAGAACATGAAGCAATAAAAATATTGTATTTCCTCCTAAATTACTGTACTAAAGTCATTGTAATACCGGCAATACCGTAAAATACTAGAATAAGTTTTTTGCATATATAGTATTTATTTGTATAAGATGTAAAAGTGTTGAAAAATCGTATCAATTAAAATGACTATTTATTTTCAATGTGTCTCCGTTTAAAAATTTAAAAGATTATCAAAATAAGGTAAAATATTTATGCATAAACATTACATTATAATATATATGTTTAAAAGAACTTCACTTAATTGCTATTAGTTAAATATTAGGTAGGTACATTTCTAAAATTGTCATTGTTGTCTTCTTAATCTAAACAAATAAATATATATTAACAGATAAGTGACAAGAATTAAAAAAAATAGTATTATCATTGATTTTAGAATTTATTAAAATAGGTACTAAATTTTACTAAAATATCAAAAGTACATAACACTTTTATTTATATTCAACGCAGTATTGTCTTCATTTAAATTAGTTTTATTGCCTATTTATTATGTATGGAGGGTTACAAATATGGTTATGATAATATACATTTGTATGTTATATTATCAAACAATAGTTTTCTTTTTTTTCAACATTCATCTACATTTTACAAAAATAATTGTAGATATATTATACTAGTTAATAATCTATTTCTTGATTTAGTTTCAATGTAATTGTTTTTCTTAATACTCATGACTTTCATTTGAGTATGGAAAGAATAAAATAGTAAATGCAAATACAGCAAGATCTAGAAATTGACCAGTTTCCAATTTTTTAATCAAAGTTCAAAGTTTGCCTGAGAATTTTATCTGTCAACAATTAAGCTAACTCATACCATAGTGTGCTATTACATAGTGATTAACTATGTTTAAAATATTATTATTATCTTCATTTACAATTCTATAAAGTGTTGGAACAATAAGTGATGGATTGAACTCTTTTCTCATATTTTATGAAAATGCTATGAATAGTAATAACGTATCTACCAAAAGTAGTATTTTAATTGGAAAAATCATACATTTTTTAATTTGTAAGCAACTAGTTTTGATAAATTTAATACATCTATTATCAAATTCTTATCTATTTTGTATAACAGGTATTTGATTGAATTTAAAACATTAACACCCAAATAAATTGTTGAAGAGCTTAAAAATTAGTTGTAATAATTCAGATTGATTAAATGAAGTGATTTTTATGACATAATCTGGTTTTATATAACATACTAATAATTTTGCACTAACCAAATCTATCTTTTCAATTAAAGTATTTATAACTGCATGTTATGATTGCAAATATTGGTTTATTCGAGTGAATTTTGGTAAAATCTATTTTAGAAAATATAAATATGTTTTTGTAAATGGATCATTTAATTGGAAATGTATGTTTTCTGGTGATACTAATTTTTTGAATGCCCATACTTAGAAAAGTATAAGTTTAATACATCTCTCTGTTTATAAATCTTTTGCATAAATTAAATAGTGATAGCCACTTCATTTGATATGGGTACAGCAATTTTTGTTCTTTAATGTAAGTTGTTGAAACTTCATGTATTGACTTTTTCTTTTACTACTATGACTAAAGAAATTGAATATCGTCCAAGATAAATCTTTACAATAAACATAGTAGTGTTCTTCATGCTTCATTATAATAAAGGTGTAAGAGTAGTGGCATTTGTATTTCATAATGAACATATCTTTTATTTGATTAGATATAGAATTATGTTGGCCCATTATTATTGAGTGACCATCGGTCAAAAACAATAATTTTTTGAGTATAGAAATAAAAATTTTAAATGGTTTTATGTACTTTGTTAAATGGTTTTGATTAAAAGCTCTATTATTTATATTATTAAGATCCTTTGTCATATACTGAAATTGAATCCTAGAAATAAGTAACTATTATGAAGTTTATGAATCTACATCAGAAAATCAGAAAATTAAGATTTTATTGTGAACACAATAAAATAACACAAAAAAAGTTATAACACATAAAATTACATACACATGATCGATTTGTATTTAATATCAGTCAACAAGAAATTTAACATTGGTCAGCTTTTTACTTAATGTTTCTTTTTGCGTAGGAGTAATCATTTTTTTTTATTATATTTGTAGACTTTGTATTGAATATTTCTTTTTGAATACTGGAATTAAGTGATTGATTAATAATAAAAACAGTGTTATGTTCTTCTAATAGTAGATAATTTAATTTCAACACACTATATTAATTGCTTATTAAATGTATTTAGTTTTAATATAGATAAAAAAATAAGCATAAATGTTTTTCAAGGTTTAAAGAATAACTTGTGATTTCTTATCACTTTTAAACTCTGGTAAAAAAACTAACTTGATATTGTGTCGCAACTCGTAGACTATTTACTCAGTAAAAGGTCTATGTATTATGTGCACTTAGAATAAACCTTCGAATTTATTTTATTTTTCTAGTCTATAATAGGCATATCAGTAACTTGTGATACGTACGCGGCAGTGATATCGTTGCTATTCATCGACTGTTATCAAACGGTTAGTGGTTACGGTTTAAGTAATCCACATCTTGAGATGTATATCTTAAATTATGAGGCAATCTTATAAAAATAAAATATGTATTATCCTACCAAAAATATTAATATTAATTATTTTTTAGGTATAAAATATAACCAAAACGTATGTAAATTGTACAAATTTTTATTCTTATCGTAGCGATGAATGTATTCATTTTACAATGATGTGTATTTTTTATACGTATAAGTAGCATAAAAAAATACACAGATTTTTAATTTTTAAGTACTGGAAAGTCACATTAATTTTTTATAGGCGTTAAAAGTTCAAATATATATAATTTTTTTTGTTTTACATGGAACATTCACCTGTAAAATAATTATTTCTCCTCAAATGATTTTTGATATTTTATTGTAATTAAAAAACGAATAACTTTCATAGGTAGGTAATTGAAATTTAAATCAAATATTTATGCAATCATTTTTAAATTCAATACAACTGTCAAAATTTATCCATTTTTTTGAGTTATTTATAGGTATTTGAAATTTATCTTAGTTAAATTTATTATTAGTATCGACAAATTTTTTTTCGCAAGTTCCTACATAAGAAGTTTATAATTAATACTGAAACCCAAAACTATTTAAAACATTTTTTGCTATAGATATTTTAAGTTCAAATTTGGTCAAAATTATATATTTAAAGTTTAAACTATGAATAACGGTAATATAATTTTAATTTGTATAATTCTGTTATAATTCAAAAACATTTTTTGTGGGGATATGGGACTTTTACTTTTATATTATGCATTACATATAAATGATTTGTCTTTTCGTAACTAAAGAATTCCTCTCCTCTATCGTTGAACTGTTTTTGATTACAGTGAAACCTCTATTAATGGACATCTCTCAGTAGTAGATACTTTAAAATTTTCCGGCAAAAATGTATGTACGTAATAGGAGTTATAACTTTTTAATAGTATTAAAAATACTATATTTATCTTTTGTACACTTCGTTCATATTTTATCTCATTTTAAGAAGACGTCGCACCCGCAAGTATTGTCTCCGTCGTATACATGTACGAAATAGTAAATTTTAGTTCACCAGCTACAATGGTAGGTACTAGGTATGCTTTTAACTTTGATATTAGAGTGAATAGACCTATTATCAAACTTTTAGGTAAGAACATTATCTGAGTTCTCTCGTTGATTTTTTATGATAATCAAATTTTTAAGTGAGTTATGAGTATGAAAAATATAAATGTTTAAAAATGTTCATAATTTACTTTAAAATTAAAATATCGTAAAAAACTAACGAGAATACAGATTCTTAACTAAAAATTTGATAATAGTTCAATTCACTCTAATGTCAAAACTAAAAGCACACTATTGAATCTAGTGAACGAAAATTTACTATGTCGTACGTGTATAAAACGGAGACACATGCGGGTGGGACGTTCTCTAGGTTTTCCTATTCGAAAATGACAAATGTTTCGATTATGTATTCGGTCATCAATTGTGTGTGCTGTACTTTGTATAAATACGTACTTACATTAAAAATGTTTTAATAACTTTATACCCATTTTTTACTACATACATTACATATTATATGCATAATAAATAATTAATCAGTATTTCAGTATATTATATCGATTACAATCTATATATGTATATGTATAACCAATTCTCTAGTGTCTCCCTATAGTGGACATT